GGCAGGAAGTCTGTGAGACTCTTATCTCCAATTAACTAATAAAAAGCCAGAAGTGGGGCCGTGGTTCAAGTTATAAAGTGATAACTTTGAGCAAAAAGGCTCAAAGATAGCACTCAGATCCTGATTTTAGGTCCTAGGTGTCCTTCCCCCTCCCCCCACCCCCATACCCTGATATCTATCTTCTACCCTGTTGTTAAACAAGGATCAGGTGTATGCAGACTAGAAGGGCACCCAGGTAATCTGAACACCAACTACACTCACAATTGCTTTATGCTTTATAACCCGACCTCCTAGCCCCATGAAGTGCAGTTTTGAGCCAGAAGTGTTAAGAAAGTTCTTGCATGACATGGTTACATAAATGGTAGACAGATTAGGGAGACCGATTAGTTTGGAGATTGATGTGGAAATTGAAGTTATAAAGCCTAAGGGAAATGGACAAGGACTAGGGAATGGGGTAAAGAGAGGGCAAGGCCAGAGCAGGAATGAAGGGAAAGACATGAAAGCAAACTGAGAAGAGGTTAGGGAAGGGTTTGTCATTAATTCTTTGAGACTGAAGAGAGGCTATGTTTACATCAGGAAGGGTGGAATGTTTGCACAAAGAAATGTGAGACTATTGGAAAGGCAAAGATGTGTGGAGTTCCTAGGACTAGAGGGTTGCTTGTGTGTTAGAGAAAGTTAAACTAGTATTAAATGGTGAGAGTATTTTGTGGATTCAATGGCCATAGAAATCATGGACTAGGCTAGACCTGGCCCCAAGAAGACAAAGAAATGTCTTTCCCAAGAATTTCCCAAGAAATTTCCCAAGCAATGTTAAGTAATAGATGGAACAGTAGGCAATCTTTTCCATGGAAAAAAGAATGCCTTAATATGAGAAATTGTTACTAATTGAATGTCTTCTAATAAGTTGGTATATATAATTTAAAGAAATAGAGGCAAGACAGGATCATGGCAAACTTTTAAACAGGAATTCAGAGACAAACATTGCATTAAGGCATAGTCTAATTAAAGGCACAAAAGCACTGTTTTGGTGTTAAGCCTTACATAGCTACAATATTTAGTAAAAAGTATAGATTTTACCCTATTCACACTAGCCAATCAGATTGTGAACCTGAGCTTAGCCAATCTGAGCATACGGGCAGAGCCCACTGTATTAGGGATAACTAAGAGCCAGCCTGTTTGCTCTATGTGCTTGCTTGCCCAATTTTTGGCTGATGGCCCAGCCCTTCTGCAGAAGTAAACTTTGCCTTGCTGAGACAAAAGAGAGAGATTGAGAAGAAAAGAGTGTGCTGGGGAGAGCAGCTCTCTCCCTCTCACATTGTGTACATGCTCAGCTGATTAGTATGCTCTAAAATTGAACAAAGGAAAGAGACTATTGGACACCCTTAGCTCACGCCTGTAATCCTAGCTACTCAGGAGGCTGAGATCTGAGCCCTGTAGGTCAAAGCCAGCCCTGGCAAGAAAGTCCATGAGACTCTTATCTTCAATTAAGCACCAATAAGCCAGAAGTAGAGCTGTGGCTTCAGTGGCAGAGCACTAGCCTTGAGCAAAAAAGCTCAGAGACAGCTCTCAGGCCCTGAGTTTGAGTTCCAGCACCTGCACACATACACACACACACACTAAATAAAGAAAAGACTTATTCTGGAAAAATGACTACTTTGGACACAAAAAGTGTTTGCTCAGAAAAAATATTTTGTTCAGGAATGAACACCTGTCCTGAAAGCAAAGTATGGCAACATCCATTCTTTTTTTTTTTTTTTTTTTCCCGGTCAGAATAGTTTATTCACAATTAAAGAAGTTCAGTTCCAAAAACAAGGGAGGGGGTGACAATGCTTGATAGGAAACGTACTCATACCTTACTTATGTAACTGTAACCCCTATCATCCATTCTTTGTCTGGAGAAAAGTCCAGCTACTTTTTCTCAAGTTGAGAGAAAAATCTAAACTATATCAGTTTAGCAGGCTAACTTGAGGTCTCTAGGCCCAATTGATAAAATAGTGTAAGAGCAATAATAATGAGATATGCTGTATGCTAGAACAAAAAGAAGCACTTATATCTTAAGGTGATTTTGACCCAAACTCCAAACTAATTTTCTACCAGAAACACCCATGATGTCAAAGTATTCCTTGCGCCTTTCATGAGATGTAGATGCATTCAGCTTTGGGGGTGTGTACTATCTTTCTAACTTTCTTTTACTAGCAAACTTTCTTGGTTTCTGACACAATGTGTTCCCAAATTTGTTTTGAAGAAAAAGATCAAGAACTTGGTACCCACAGGCCAAAGGTAGGCCTCCTCCCTTTTGTAGGCTGCATTCTGGAGTATCCTCAGTTGGGTCAAGGTAATCTTTCAGTAAAAGCTCTTCCACTGCTTTTTGTCATACCTTTGGTTTATCTCCCCAGAGGCAATCAGTTACTAATATGTTGTGTAACCTCCTGCAGTAGTTCATATTCAAGTTTATGAATATAGATATATGTATGTAACTCAGGTAACAGCACACTATACAAATTGCTCTGCAGCTTGCTACCTATATAAAATCTTCTTCTGAGTTTTTCCTCAGTTGTGGGGCTTGAACTCAGAGCCTGAGCACTGTCCCTGAGCTTTTTCATTTAAGGCTAGTGCTCTACCACTTTGAACCACAGCACCATTCTGGTTTTCTGGTGGTTAATTGGAGATAAGAGTCTCACAGACTTTCCTGCCCAGGATGGCTTGGAACCATGATCCTCAGATCTCAACATCCTGAGTAGCTAGGAATACAGGCATGAGCCAGTGGTGCCTGGCCCAGTGTTTTATTCTAATGGAATTTCCTACCTTTTGAGTCAATGTTGACTATTTTTCAGGAAACACTTTCCCTAGACTTTTCAAGTTATCTTAATCAAGTTGTGTATTACATCGTGTTAAAATATAGAACCAAGGACATTCTTCTTTTAGTTTAAATATTAATCAGGTTTGGACCACTTACAAAGTTTGTAAACAATTTTGGACACTTCCCATAAGTCTTACAAGTAGGCATGTTCTCCATGTTCTCACAGAACATGACTTGTTATAAGTTGGTTTGGTAATTTTCATTTACAATGAAAAACAGACTAATTCCTATTTCAGGAGTTTGTCTCTATTCCATGCCCTTCCTTTACCTCCCTTGTTTCTTCCATATATACATCTCACCCAACCTGTAACTAACCTACTAAATGAAGAAAATGGGCACTCAGTCTGAAATCAGGTTGAAGTGTCTTGTTTTATGACAGACTGGCTGTTTTTATGGCCTGTCCCTCTCTCAACTTAACATCAAAATTTTATGGCCTGTCCCCCTCTCAACTTAGCATCAAAACTATCTTTAAAGAGTAGTTAAGAAGTAGAAAGGGCTGGGAAGGTGGCTCAGTGGTAGAGCGCTTGCCTTGCATGCCTGAGGCCTTGGGTTTGATTCCTCAGCACCACAGAAGGAAAAAGAAAAAAGCCAGAAGTGGCACTGTGGCTTAAGTGGTAGAGTGCTAGCCTTGAGCTGAAGAGCTGAGGGACAGCGCCCAGGCCCAGAGTTTAGGCCCCATGACCGGAACCAAAAAAAAGAAAAAGAAAAAAAGTAGAAAGATGAGGTTAAGGATTGAAGTTGGGAGCTTCATGGTTAGGAAGAGATAACTAATTTTGGAGGCGCGGAAGGAAACAGAAGTTATCAGTGGCTTCAGAAAAGTGGGAGAGTAGTTGGTGTTGGGACAAGTGTGGGAAGTTAGGGAGGTGGGAGCTGGAGAAGGAAGTGAGCTGGGAGGCTCAGTCTCCAGTCAAAGCTGGAGATTAAATAGTCTTGTCATTTTAAATAAAGTTTCATATCTATTGGTCTTACTATTTTTTGTGGCAGTACTGGGGCTTGAGGTAGGGGTCTGAGTATAGTCCCTGAGTTTCTTTTTGTTCAAGCTAGCCCTATACCACTTGAGCCACAGCTCCACTTCTGGCTTTTTTTGGGGGAGGGGGACAGTTTATTAGCGATAAGTGTCTCACAGATTTCCTACCTGGGCTGCTTTCGAACTTCGATCCCCAGATCTCAGCCTCTTGAGTGGCCTTACTTTTTTAAATACCGGTTTCGAAGGAAGTACTAGAAAATGTGCGTGGTCTGAAGAACTATTCTAACAATATTTAAGCCAAACAAAATGAGTACAACCTCCTGAAAAAGCTCCATTACTTTGAGAATTTTGTTCCTCTACATTCCATATTTTACCTAGTTCTTATGTTTACCACCTGGATACTTGTAGTTTGCCAAAAAGTAAAAAGTACCTCATCTCATACCCATTTCCTAGCCTGTTGGCTACTTCAATAGCCCCAAAGGGCACCCGTGGAATGGTGACAGTGTTAGAATCAACAATGGCTCTCTTGTTGACATCATTTCAGAAGGGTGGGTGTGTGCAGTCATCGGTAAGAACTTCTAAGAAAGCCCCAGGATGCGGTAGGGGGAAAGAGGTTGGGCCATGTGGCATTTCATTTACCCCTACTTTTTTTGTTTTTGTAGTAAAATGTGAACACTTCCAGTTCTGGCCCCAATTTGCTTGGCCATTTTTGATGTCACGGAGAAGTCTGGCTACTGGCGGTCTATTTGTCCTCTTCAGGGGTGAGCAACGAATCCCTTGAGAGGAGGGGTGCCAGCCAGCCGGAAAGATTACCGGTGTGGGAATGTGAGTCAGAAGACAAGGGGGTCCGCGGGGCAGGGGTGGGGGGGTTGGTGGTGGCGGAGGGGGGATGCTGCAGATCTGAGATAGACCGGAGACCGATGAGTTCTTTCCGGGGAAGATAGTGCTGAGGGCAGGTCCGCGGAGCCCACTCCCGGCAAAGGGAACGGATGCATCGGGGGAGTTGGCGGGTTGGAAAACCCGGAGCCCGACCCCGGTTGCACCAGGGCTGCGTGCAAAAGGGCGAGCGAGTGACCCACAAGCCGCGGACCTGAAGAAGCGAGGCTACGTGGAGGCCCGGCCCACGCTCGGAACACCCGGCTCCGCTGGCTGGGACTGGATCCATCAGCAACGGCTAGGCGCCTTTCGGTGACGCAACGTCGGCGCGCTGACGCACTGACCGCCCGCGACCTCCACGTCTCAGGTTCCGCAAAGAGTTGTGGGAGCGACCCGGATCTTGGAGAAGGAGCGCCAAGATGGCGGAGGCGACGGAGTCTCCCGGAGACCAGGAGACAGCATCGCCCAGGCCCCTGGTGAGCTTGGGAACTGCGACCAAAGGGACCGAGGGTGACGCAGAGTGCCCCCTAAAAGAAAAGTTGGGGGACGGACTCATGACTTGACCAAGCCTGAGTTCCTCTGCCCGGAGGACCCAATGATAGCACCAGTCCCAACATTGCACCTCTGCTCTGAGAGCTACTCTCATCCCCTGCCCTGCTTGCTCGTTCCAGCCTCCTGGTGAAAGTCTTCTCCCCTCCCAAATCCTCGGGGCGCTTCCTCGGTCCTCTACACTGTGCCCAGTTCCCACTGTCACTGCCCCCTCCCGCAGATTCAAGACCTATCACCAGCCCATGGAGTAGCAAGATTCTCCATACAAGGAGAAATTGCATCCATGGATGATAGCTTGTTGCTGCTTGTAACTAAAGGCTTTCCTTCTGGAATGAACCCCCCCACCCTGTGGCATAGTAGTTGCTCAATAAATGATACTTGCATTTTTTTTGTTGTTGGAGATTGGCAATTAAGCAGACTAAGGATTGAGTTTAGAAACAAGTGAATTTGTTTGTACTCCTAGTTCTGCTTAGGCGCTTAATCTGTTAACCTCCATCCGTGTTGTAGGCACCTCATTAAGGGACCTGGGACACAGCAATAAAAAAGTGAATTTTTAGGATTTGGAATGGAGTTCACGGGTAGAATGCTCATCACATGCAATGCTGTGAGTTCCATATCTAGCGTAGAGAAAGGAAATAAAAGAGGAAAAAAAGTAAACTGATTTATTTGAGCCACGTTTCCAAGTATTTATGGGGCAGTTGTAACCTTGAGTAAAATCACTATATACCCCAGTTTAATCATTTGGAGAGTGTAGAAACATCACAGGAATCATGAAAGGACAGAACGAACTAACATATCTATAATGCCTACCGTGTCAGAATTAGAGATACTTAGCTGTTAAGCTTTTTAGATTTTTTTTAAAGTTCCTGTTTTACATCCAAACTGGCCCTCCCCATTCCATGAAGGTTTTCTGCCCCCCTAAACTTTCATATAGCCCAACAGGCTGTTAATTAAACTCCTGCAGGGTGTAATGTATTATGCTAGTTACCTCAGGGAATACAAAGGGCCTAACCCTATTGTCTAGGCCTATCAGTCCCTATTATCTAATTTGTAAGGACGTTACAAACACACACTGCTAAAAATAAAGCAGTACAGAAGTGGAAGTTTAAAATATTAGGGGGATTTAAAAGAAGATGTACTGTTGGTTCATACCTGTAATCCTAGTTACTCAGGAGGCTCAGATCTGAAGATCATGATTTAAAGCCAGCGTAGGCAGGAAAGTCCATCAGATGATCTCCAGTTAACCACCAAAAAGCCAGAAGTGGAGGTATGGATCAAGTGGTACAGTGCTAGACATCAGCAGACAGTGAACGCAAGGGATCCTGACTTCCAAGACCCAGTACACACACACACACACACACACACACACACACACACAGATGATATTGTGTTCACTTGCAGTGATCAAGCAAGATACAGGGAAGAAGTTGTGTTTGAGAGACAAGCCTCCAAGGATTGGGAATATTTCAAATTTCAGGTGAATGAGTGTAAGAGTTCTCAGTGACTGCATACCTGCTATGTAATGGGTATATTTCTTTTTTTTTTTTTTTTTTTGTCGGTCGTGGGGCTTGAACTCTGGGCCTGGGCGCTGTCCCTCAGCTCTTCAGCTCAAGGCGAGCGCTCTACCACTTGAGCTACAGCGCCACTTCCTAATGGGTGTATTTCTTACTTCAGTTACCTGCTGCTTAATTGTAAAAATGCAGGCCGAAAAATGAGAAAATGACTGGAAAAGAGACTTGATTTTTTTTACCCCCTAAGATCTACATCCAGTTAGTGGTCAGACAGCACATACCACACCTTGGGTTTTATTCTCTGTACTACAAACAGAAAAACAAGGATCACTTATTGTTCACCAGTGGCTCACACCTGCGATCCTCACCAGGCTGAGATCTGAGGATGAGATCTGAGGATCGCATTTCAAAGCCAATTGGGGCAGAAAAATCCCCATGAGACTCTTATCTCCAATTAACCATCAGAAAACCAAAAGTGGTGCTGTAACTCAAACTGGCAGAGCACTAGCCTTGAGCAGAAGAGCTCAGGGATAATGCACAAGCCCTGAGTTCAAGCCCCACAACTGAGAGAGAGGGAGGGAGAGAGAAAGAAGAAGGGAGAGAGAGGGAAGGAAGGAGAGAGAGAAGGAAAGAAAGAGGGAGAGAGGGAGAGGGATGGAGAGAGGGAGAGAGAAGAAAGGAGGGAGAGAGAGAAGAGGGAGTATGGGAGGAGAAGGAAAGGGAGAGAAATCTTTGTGGTATTGGAGATTGAATTCGGGGCCTCACAGATGGCACAGAGCTACATTCCCAGCCCTAAAGCACTCCTTTTTGAATTATTTTCTATATACTGCTATAACACCATTCTTCCAAACTCTAGAATTGCTTGTTTTGTGTTTCTTTCCTGCCTGCTACAGGTAGCAGAAGCAGAGCAGTATAGTAGAAGGAACAAGCTCTGAAGCCAAAAGGAGCTTGTTCTCATTGGAAACAATGCTCCTATAAGATTTAGTTGAGGAAAACAAAGAATTAGTGGCTCTGGTGCAGTGGTTCACACTAGTACTCCAGTTATTGTAGTTAGAGGGCAGCCCCGGCAAGAAGCTAGTGAGACTCCATCTTAGCCAACAATATATGAATAGTGCCTTATGAATTCAATTCTATCTATGTAGGAAGCCATAGCTAAGAGGATCACAGAGAAAGGCCAGTCCTGAGCAAAATCTTGACACCCTGTTTAAGAACTAAAGCAAAAACAAACAAACTAGGGGTGTGTGGCTTAATTGGAGGAGCACTAGCTTTGCAAGTGCTAGGTACTGAATTCAAACCCTAGCACTACCAAAACAATTTGAGTGACATACACATAGCACACAGTCAACCTTCAACATGTGAATTCAAGCCAAAAACCTTGGGCTCCATCTTTTATTGCTAGTGTAACATTTTTTTTGTGCACTGGTACTAGGTCTTGATCTTTTCACTTTGAACTCTCATTCAGCATTTTTGTTCATTCAAGTGCATTCTGCCACTTGAGCCACACCTTCAGTTCTGGATTCTTGCTGGTTAGTTGGAGATGAAAAGTTTTGGATTTGTTTCTTCAGGTAGGCTTTGAACTTTTATTCTTAGATCTCATCCTCCTGAGAAGCTAGGATTACAGACATGAGCAGCCAGTGCCTGGCTCTGTGTCACTTTTGAGCAGATGACTTACATATTTAGGCTTCATTTTGCTCTGGGCAAAATTATTATAAAGGTACTAACATGGCAGAGTTGCTGTAAGGAAGAAATGTGTTAACACATGTAAAACACATAGTATCAGGCACATAGCAGGAGCCAGAGACTCAGTTCTTCTTCTGTCCCGGTGGTACAGTAACAATCTTGACTACACTCTGCTCTAGTTCCTAGGAGGTGGCCTTTAGATGCTTAGAACTCCCTGAGTGGTAGGATTTACAGTATTCATTGTGGACCCTGGCAGTCTTTGCTAACAGGCTCCCTAGATTGAAATGTTTACATATTTAGTGTAGTGTGTATCTCAGCTTATTCATTTATGAAAAAATGCTTATTTTCCCTTTATGCTTGACAACTGTCTTTGCCAGTTCAGAATAGTTTATCCTTCAGCACTCTCAAAGTGTCCTCCTGGCTGGTGTGATTTTAGTGAGATAGCAGTGATTCTTATTTCTGTCCTAATGCTTTCTCTGGCAGCCTTTGAGATTTTCTCTTAATCCTTGGTGTCTTGTAGTTTGAAGGTTTAGCTTTGTGGATTTTTTTTTTAATTTTGGCTTTGAGTGTTTATCTGTTGTGTGTGTATACCAGTACTGGGACTTGAACTCAGCCTGGGCGCTGTCCCTGAGTTTCTGTGCTCAAGGCCAGCACTCAACCACTTAAGCCATAGCTCTACTTCTGGATTTTTTTGGTAATGAATTGGAAATAAGCTCAAACTGGCTTTGCACCAAGATCCTCATATCTTAGTCTCCTGACTAGATAGGTTTATAGCCATGGAGTTACTGGTGCCTGGCATTGGGTGTTTATCTTGATTGCAGCTCTCTAGGCTTAGATATGTCATTAAAAACATTTCAGGGCTGGGAATGTGGCTTAGTGGTAAAGTGCTTGCCTACCATGCATGAAACCCTGGGTTCAATTCCTCAGTACCACATAAGCAGAAAAAGCCAGAAGTGGTGCTGTGGTTCAAGTGGTCAAGTGCTAGCCTTGAGCTAAAGAAGCTCAGGGGCAGTACTCAAGCCCTGAGTTCAAGCCCCAGGACTGGCAAAAAAAATCAGAGCTGGGCACCAGTGCCTCATGCCTGTAATCCTAGCTACTCAGGAGGCTGAAATCTTAGGATCACGGTTCAAAGCCAGCCTGGGCAGTGAAGTCCCTGTGATACTTTTATCTCCAATTAACCACTCAAAAACTGGAAGTGGAGCTATGGCTCAAAGTGGTAGAGTGCTTGCTTTGAGCAAAGAGCTCAGGGACAGCTCCCAGGACCTGAGTTCAAGCCCTATGACAAAAACAATTTTCCATCATTATAATTTCAAACATTTCTTCAGACTGCTACATCTCTCTTCTCATTCTAGAATTCTAAGTTTATAAGTAGACAGATGATAGATGCTCTATTCTATCCCCCCTAAAAATAAAAAGAGCTCTTTTTTTTAAGTTAGTGTTAGTGTTGCCCAAGTGGACTTCAAACTTTGTCTTCCTTATCATCTGTTACTATATTAATTTTTATTAGTGCTACTCTGTGTAGGTGTGCTCAAGCACATATATACTGCTCTATGGTTTGAACTCAGGGTCTAGACACATTCTCAACTTTTTCACTCTAGGTTAGGATGCTACCACTGGAACCACAGCTCCAGGTCAGTTCCAGCTTTTTCCTGATTAATTGGAGATAATAGTCTCCTGGACATTCCTGCCCAGTCTGGCTTCAAACAGGGATTTTCAGATCTCAGCCTTCTAAGTCTGTAGGATCACAGGCACAAACTACCCGCTCTGGTTAGTGTTGCATTCTGATTCTTAGGCTTTTCATCTTCTTGCATTCACCAACATTCCTGCATTTATTTTCCTTCTGGAGCACCTAGCATATTCATTATAATCCTCTTAATTTCTTTTCTGATCACTCCAACATGTGGGTTGTATCCAAGCCTGGTTTTTGGTGGGGAGAATTTAGTAGAGCTCTATATTTTTCTCAGAGAATTAGTTGCTCCCTTTTCTATATCTGCAACCCACACTGTCCTCCCTCTCATCTTTCTGTGGGGAGCCTGCAAGTGGCTGCAAGTGAATATTCCTTCAGAATATTGTTGTGAGGAGTTTGATACTTTCCTGTTAGCTATATTTGGCCTTTAGCAACTCACTTAATACCATAGCTAAATTCTTTCTAATCCCTGTGATGCCTGGTATTGGTGTTTTATGCTAAGCCAGTGCTAATGTCCTGTGTCTTCTTAGATTTTACATTCTGACCACTTGATTGCCTATTGTGGGTTCAGGGACAGTTAGGATTTTGTAGTTTCTGTAGTTTTTTTCTTGTTCTAGTAGGGAGGATGTCCTTCTAAGCCTTCTAGATCTTAGAAGTTAACATATAGTGTTACCATGACCTAGGTACTTATAGTTGTTCTTGCCTGGACACTGATGGCTCGTGCATGTTATCTTAGCTATTTGGAAGGTTGAGAATGGTAGGATCATGGTTTAAGGATAATCTGGCTGAAAAGTTTGCAAAACCCTTTTCAAACCATGCCTGAGTGCAGTGATGCACACCTGTTATCCTAAGTTATGTGGAAAGCTGAGATTGATTAAATTATGGTTCAAGACCAGCCTGGACAGAAAAGTCTATGAGAACCCAACTCAATGGAGAGAAGCTGGATGAGATGGCACTGCCTGTCACCCTAATGATAAGAAGCCGAAAGTAGGTGGATCATGGTCCAGGTGCATGCTCAGAGAGGAAAGCAAGATCCTACCTCAAAAAATAAGCACTGAAAAACAGAGCTGGAGGTATGGCTCAGTTGTAGAGTGCTTGACTAGCAGGTGAATAAGCACTGAATTCAAACCCAGTAGTACCAAAAACTAATTACTCTCTTTGTGGTTTTGTATCTAATTTGATATACAGCAAGTTCATTTGTTTATTTTTACTGTTTTCTTCACTATGTGAACCAGTTAAGTACTTTCAAGTAACATACAGAGAAAAACATTTGAGAAAGGCTAGCTTCTCTCCCAGTATGCTCCATCACCCAATTCCCTCCTTTCCTTTGGGAAGACATAAAAGATCATATAGCCTATTCCTTGATCATACAAAACAGAGTGGTTAGGAAGTTTTCCATTAGTTGTCTGAACAACCTCATTCTTCATAAAGTTTCACCATACTGTCTTGTGTCTCATTTATCTACAATCGTGGCTTACTAGGTTGAAATTGTATGAGAAGGGATTACTTCTGTTTTCTTAGGAATGTATAGATTCCAGATCTTGGGTCATAATAATCAAGTTCAGCAAATGAACATAGTTTCAAACTGCTGGGCGTTGGTGGGTCATACCTGTAACCGTACTACTCAGGAGGCTGAGATCTGAGGATCACGGTTTAAAGCCAGCCTGGGGAAGAAAGTCCATGAGACTCATCTCCTATTAACCATCAGAAAACTGGAAGTGGTGCTGTGATTCAAAATGGTAGAGTGCTATCCTAGTAAAAGAGCTTCAGGGACAGTGCCCAGGCCTTGAATTCAAGCCCCATGACCTACCAAAAAAAGTTTCAAACTGTATTCTTTTTTTTGTTGTTGTTGTTGGTCATGGGGCTTGACCTCTGGGCCTGGGCACTGTCCCTGAGCTCTTCAGCTCAAGGTGAGTGCTCTACCACTTGAGCCATAGCTCTATTTCTGGTTTTCTGGTGGTTAATTGGAGATGAGTCTCACAGACTTTCCTGCCTGGGCTGGCTTTGAACTGTGATCCTCAGATCTCAGCCTCCTGAGTAGCTAGTATTACAGGCATGAGCCACCGGAGCCCGGATCAAACTATTCTTTATTCACTTGGAGTGTTTGATTATATGTGTAATGTCCAGGAAACTTGGTAAAAAGAAGGCCACATGAGACTTATTTTGCTGTCTCCCTGTTCCTCCCATTTCCCATTACGTCTCATGCAATGCTTTATCTCAGCCAGAAGAGGGCACTACCACCTACAAAAAGCATAGCTGTTTAAATTTCACTTCTTTGTTGGACTGAGTTACCTTTCTGAGGATTTACATCATTTGAGTTCTTCCCAAGTCTACCATATTTAGGTTAATACACTGGTGTATACTTGGATACCAACCCAAAGTGTATATTTATATATTTATAGATTCAATTCTAGCTTCCACATATGAGGGAAAACATGGATTTTTTTTTTGTCTCTCTGTGCCTAGATTTTAACCATTTTTTCCATGTCTTTCCATTTCTTTACAAATAGCACAATATCATTCTTTCTAATGGATGAGTAAAATTGGATTGTATACCATTGTGTGTATGCATGTGTGTGTGTATGTGTGTGTGTGTGTGTGTGTGTACATACATATATACATACACACATATCCTGGTTTGTAATTTTTTGGATAAATTCCCAAGAGTGGAATTGCTGGATCATAGGATAGGAATCGGGTATTCAAAAGTGGGGGGTAGGACCAAGGGGAGGAGGGTAGATAAAGAACAGGGAGGAAATACAACCATAAAAATCAATGCAAATTCTACAAAATTAAGAAAATTGAGGGAAGCCAGGCACTGGTGGCTCACGCCTGTAATCCTAGCTACTCAGGAGGCTGAGATCTGAGGATCACGGTTCAAAGCCAGCCCGGGCAGGAGAGACCGTGAGACTCCTATCTCCAATAAACCACCAGAAAACCGGAAGTGGCGCTGTAGCTCAAGTGGTAGAGCGCTCGCCTTGAGCTGAAGAGCTGAGGGACAGCGCCCAGGCCCAGAGTTCAAGCCCCACAACCGACAAAAAAAAAAAAAAGAAAAGAAAATTGAGAGAAAAGGTGGGTTAGGAGAGATGGGAGAGAATGATGGAAAGGAGTGACATGGATTAAGATTAATCAAATTCATTCATATACTAGTTTGTTGACTAGTAACTCCTTTGTACAATTAAAGATAAAAATAAAAATTTTAAAAGATCACTTTTTATTTAATAGTTTCAGCTCTTATATCAGTGTTGCTAATTTGTATCATGTAGACGTTTAATCTTGAAAGAAAGGAAATGTATGAGAGAAAGTGTCTGTGGCGTTTACTTTTAGTACTTTTTATTACATGCCATCTCCTTAAATTAAAAGGCGTGCTAGAGAATTATAGTTTAGCTTTATTGGTTAATGTTGTTGACCTAACATGTCCATTCACTCCAGAAATAATTGGTCCCTACTCTAGGAAATGATGTGTTTGATGAATGCTACAGTTGATTGTAGGCTCAAATTTTTCCTAATTCTTCTTAGTTTGCAGGACTTTCAGATATATCCATCTCTCAAGACATCCCAATAGAGGGAGAAATCACCATTCCTATGAAATCTCGAATCCGAGAACGTGACAGCTCCACTTTAAATGAATCTGTTCAGAATACTATTGTAAGTTCGAGTGATTGATAGAAAAGTTCTGTTCTTAGCGTCATGAGAATAAATAGCTAATATGACTTTGCAGTAGTATTTTTGGTTGACTGAATTTCAGTATATTTTATTTATTGAAATTTAATATTTTCTCCTGATAGTCTTTCTAGGAGAGCAGTTGGGCTACAACTGATACTCAGCTGAGCTCTTTATTATAGGATATTATAATATTATAGCTAGGATTATAGGCATAAGGAAGCTGATGTCTGGGGATCATAGTTTAAAGGCAGACTAGGCAGGAAAGCCCAGTTCCATTAAACACCAAAAAGTCAAAACTGGAGGCATGGCTCAAATGGTAGAGTATTTGCCTTGAGCAGAAAAGCTCAGGGACAACATCCAGGCTCTGAGTTCAAGCTCCATAACTGTTATATACACACACACGCGCGCACACACACACACAAGAATTTTTAAATGCTCAGAGTACTATTGCTTCTCTAAATGTAATACAATGGCAAAACAATTTTAAAGATTTTAACACAAAATATTCAGTATACAGAGTTCATTATAACATTTTTTTGGTAACACAGGAACATTGAAAATACACCAACAACACATGAAATACTGCTTGAATAAATCATGTTATATACAAGCGGTGAAATGCAAAAAAATCATCAAAAATTAAAAACTTGAGTTGGGCACAGTGGTTTACACCTATAATCCCAGCACTTAGGAGGGTCAGTCAGGGGAATAGCAAGTTTGAGGCCAGACTAAACTATATGAGACCTTGCCTCAAGAAAAAGTAGGATAGAATTATTTTTACTCTATTTTGAGAAGTTATATTTGCCTGCAGTAATATATTAATTTGCCAATTCAACTGTAAATATTGGAAGCCAGTTTAACTGTTACAAAGAATACCTTGTCACCAGGTGCCAGTTGTTCATGCCTATAATCCTAGCTGCTTAGAGGCTGAGATCTGAGTATCATGGTTCAAAGCTATCCCAGGCAGAAAAATTTGAGACTGTCTCCACTTAATCACAAAAAAAGCAAAAGTGGAGGTATGGCTCAAGTCTTAATACACTAATCCTGAGTACAAAGCTCAGGGACAGTGCCCAAGCCCTGAGTTTAAGCCCAAGGACTGGCATACACATGCACATTAACACATGAGAATGCCATGTCTAGAAAGCAGGATAATTGTCCTGGAGGACCTCATGTATCAACTGCATGTCACATGCTATGTTTGGCTGAACAGCTTTTCTTAGTGGTATATATTTAGTTTCCCTAGGTAGTTTATAGGAATGGATATGTTTCTCTTTTTCAGAGTTTTCAAATTTGGAGCAGAACTGGTAGATGGGCCTGAAGGCATAGTTCATTTGGTTTAGTGCTTTGAGGACTGGCCTTGACTGCAAACCCTGTTGGTGAAAAAAAAAAAAAAGGAAAAGTGTTGGATGTTGGCTTAAGGAGTTAGTAGAGAAAATATCCCCTTCCTCCCTAGTTTTCTGGAATTAGCTCTGAAATTCAATGAAGAGCTCTTAGGAGATTAAAATAAATTTTAGCAAATTAAGCGAAGTGATTGTCTTGTAGCCTTGTTTTTTACAAGTTGTTTATATCTTTCAGATGCGTGATCTGAAAGCTGTTGGAAAAAAATTCATGCATGTGTTGTACCCAAGGAAAAGTAACACTCTTCTGCGGGACTGTAAGTATTTGTGGTTTTGTGAGGGTTTGCTGCATAACATTGTACCTTAGTATTATAGAGGTCATTTTGTCCATGGAAGAAATATGTAGATGGAAGTTTTAGAAGAAATTTTACAAAGTATCTGAGGTTGAAAGGGATTGCTTATTTTATCAATTGGTATAGATTGTCTACCCTTATCTAGAAAATGCCATAGTAGACACTACAAAGCAATACTGCTACATGTTCAAGAGAAGGCAGGTGTGTGCACTAGTGGCTTATAGCTGTAATATTAGCCACTCAGGAGACTGAAATCTGAGGATCCTGGTTCAGGGCCAACAAGACAGAAAGGTCTTTGAGACTTTCATCTCCAAATAACCAGCAAAAAAGAATGAGTGGAGCTGTGGCTCAAGTGGTAGGGCACCAGTCTTGAACAAAAAAAGCTAAGGGACAGCACTTGGGCCCTGAGTTCAAGCCCCAGTATCAACACAAAACAAAAAGAATATTGAAAAAAAAAAGAATATTGATAAAATACTCAGTAATGATCCACGGGTTGATAGTACCTTTATGGGCATTTCTGTCATTTCATTTGATGACATTTTCTTTGTTAAAGAATTGTCTCAAGAGTCCAATGATTGTGCTCTTAGATTTTGTTTTCTTAAAATTATTGGGCTATTTGTTTTCCTTTTCAAGCAGTCTTCATTTTGTTACTATGTTGTTTGGTGTTTTTTTTTTTTTTGAGACAGTCTCTCCATGCATCCCATATTGACTCAATCTATTCAAAAAAATAAAATCAAGCTGGGCGCTGGTGGCTCACGCCTGTAATCCTAGCTACTCAGGAGGCTGAGATCTGAGGATCAAGGTTCAGAGCCAGCCCGGGCAGGAAAGACCGTGAGACTCCTATCTCCAATAAACCACCAGAAAACCGGAAGTGGCGCTGTAGCTCAAGTGGTAGAGCGCTCGCCTTGAGCTGAAGAGCTGAGTGACAGCGCCCAGGCCCAGAGTTCAAGCCCCACGACCGACAAAAAAAAAAATAAAAAAAATAAAATAAAATAAAATCAGAGCCAGCTGGTGTGGCTCATACCTTTAATTCCTTCCCTATATGGGAGGCAAAGCCAACCTGAGCAAAGTTAGCAGGACCCCGTCTCAACAAAATAAGCTGGCATAGTGCTACACATTTATCATTTGAACTGTGCAAGAGACCATTAGGTCATAATCCAGGTCGATGCAGGGCAAAGATATTAGGCTCTATCCAAAAAATGACTATGGCAAAGAAATGAGGAGGCCTTCAGTTTAAACTCCAATCATCACAAAGAAAAGCTAGAGCAGTCCTACAATGGAGACTGGATGTAGCAACAGGATCATTGGGTGCTGAGGGTTGCAGCTAACAAAGGCCTGGACATAGACTTCTTGTAGGGGAATCAGTGTGGGTAAATATGGATTTTCATAGTAGTTCCCTCAGCAGGGTGTGATCTTGGATAAAATAGTTAACTTTTCCAGGGCTCTAGATTCTTCATGTTACAGTGGAGATAATAGCATAATCCTTGCCAGTGTAGATTAGAGACTCTAAATCTGTAGATCATATGGCACAGCACCTGGCACTTAGTAGGCATGCCACTGATGGCAGCTATTTTTGTAGCATGCCCCCACATACATATGGACACATTATTTTTTTGTGCTTGTCCTGGAGTTTGTGTTGTACCTGAGCTTCATTTGCTCAAGGCTAGTGTTCTACTACTTGAGCCACAGCTCCAATTACAGCTTTTTTTTTTTTTTTGGTGGTTAATTGGAAATTAATCGGAGAATCTCACAGACTTTCTTGCCTAGACTGGCTTCAAACTAAGATCCTGAGTAGCTAGGATTACAAGATAAGCCAGCAGCTGCTGTACACATTATTTTACTTAACAGTATAGCCTGTGAATAGCCTATGAAGTCAAAGTTACTGTTCCTATAGGGCTTGTTGTTGCTGCTTTTTGGTGTTTTTGAGACAGCATCTCAGTTTGTAGCCCAGGCCAGTCTTAAATTCCTCCCCATCCTTATGCCTTGGCTTCCTGAGTGCTAGAATTGTATGCTTCTCCATTTAGAATTGGGAGTCAGGGTGGGCACAGTGGGAGGCAGTAGAAGTGGAAGCCTTGCCATCTGAATTCCAAGAGCAAGAATTAGAGGGGAAATACTGGAATAAAGGTAGAAAATGCCACCAGCATTTGACTGTGAGTACTCCTAGGCAGATGGCGATAGGAGTGTATGTCAGCATACAGTAGAGATTTGCTCATCTACATTTATGTTTATGGCAGCACTGTTCACAGAAGTGGAGCTGTGGAATCAGCCTAGGTGCCCAGCAATCATGAAGGATAAAGAAAATACAGCTATCGAGAACAATGAAATTGTGTCACTTGCAGAATGGATAAAACGAGATTAGTATGTTAAGCAAAATAAGCTGGAATGAATATGACATGAGTATAAAAAGGAGACTATTTTCAAGGAACCACCATGAGGGTAGAGAAGGGGAGGCTATGGTGATGGGGTGTGAATGTGATTAAAGTACTTATTATGAGCATGTATGAAAAATCACCATGAAACCACTCAAACCCCTCACTTCACTCAATGACTGTATACTAATAAAACACCAGGGAGAACATTTTCCACTTACGTATTTAGGTTGATTATTTATGCTTATTATTTATTATGTTAAATATAATCAATTTATTAATTTTATAAATTTATATATTATAACAGCAATTTATGTATATATTGCATCTGGCATTCAAACAGTCATAAGTAAGTTAACTGAAGTATAATAGGCTCTATAAGAGCACAAATATACTGGACTGTGGGAGGTGGGGGAGGGAAGGGATAGTGGGACAACAACAAAGGAAGGGGTAACAGTGATCGACAAGTAATGCACTCTTTGCCTTACTCATGTAACTGCAACACCTCTGTACAGCATCTTTACAATAAAATAAAAAAGAACACAAATAGTATAATTTTTTTAGAAAGACTAAGTCAAATCCCAACAAAATAAGTACCAGGAAATGGGTACTTGCAAGGGAGTAGGAAGGGGAGCGGTATAGAAGAACGAATGGGAGAAATGAGTAGAATGCAGGAAGAAATGCATTGTTTATGTCACAGAACTGAGAAAAAAAAGGTCAGGGGGTGGATCAAATAAGGGGGTAAAGATACTGAAGGGATGTCAGTTTTTTACAGTGCTTTCTTACGCACTTTTCTGTTCTTGCTTGCCTTGTAGGGGATCTGTGGGGCCCTTTGATCCTCTGTGTGACACTGGCACTGTAAGTACCACATGTCCTTTCTTCTACATGTGAGCTATGCTATGCACTTTTGTGCAATTTCAGAATTCAGGGTAAAACAGGGGGAGTGAAGGAAGGGGTGACATTGTCCAAAAAGAAATGTACTCTTTACCTGAACTAAGTAAGTGTAACCTACCTTACTTTTCTTTTCTTTTCTTTTCTTTTTTTTGTTGGTGTGGGTTTGAACTCTGGGCCTGGGCTCTGACCCTGAGCTCTTTGGCTCAAGGCAAGCGCTCTACCACTTGAACTACAACACCACTTCCGATTTTCTGGTGGTTAACTAGAGATAAGAGTCTCACAGACGCCGGGCGCTGGTGGCTCACGCCTGTAATCCTAGCTACTCAGGAGGCTGAGATCTGAGGATCGCGGTTCAAAGCCAGCCCGGGCAGGAGAGACCGTGAGACTCCTATCTCCAATAAACCACCAGAAAACCAGAAGTGGCGCTGTAGCTCAAGTGGTAGAGCGCTCGCCTTGAGCTGAAGAGCTGAGTGACAGCGCCCAGGCCCAGAGTTCAAGCCCCACGACTGACAAAAAAAAAAAAAAAAAAAAAGAGTCTCACAGACGTTCCTGCCTGGGCTGGCTTTGAACCATGATCCTCAAATCTCAGCATCCTGAGTAGGATTACGGGTGTGAGCCACCAGTGCCCCGCAGCATAACCTTTCTGTACATCACCTCTATAATAATATATAACTATATATATAGATATATATATCTATATATATATATATATTTTTTTTTTTTTTTTTGGTCAGTCATGGGGCTTGAACTCTGGGCCTGGATGCTGTCTCAGCTCTTCAGTTCAAGGCTAGCACTTTACCATATGAACCACAGCACCACTTCTGGTGTTCTTGTGGTTTATTGGAGATGTGTCTCACAGACTTTCCTGCCCTGGCTGGCTTTGAACTGCCATCCTCAGATCTCAGACTCTCGAGTAGCTAGGATTACAGGTATGAGCCACCACCTCCTGGCAACAATAAATTTTTTTTTAAAGAATTGAGAGTAATTTTGATACAATATATCCTTTAGGACTTTTTTTTTTTTTTTTTGTCGGTCGTGGGGCTTGAACTCTGGGCCTGGGCGCTGTCCCTCAGCTCTTCAGCTCAAGGCGAGCGCTCTACCACTTGAGCTACAGCGCCACTTCCGGTTTTCTGGTGGTTTATTGGAGATAGGAGTCTCACGGTCTCTCCTGCCCAGGCTGGCTTTGAACCGTGATCCTCAGATCTCAGCCTCCTGAGTAGCTATAGGATTACAGGCGTGAGCCACCAGCGCCTGGCTAAACATATTGCCTCAGTTTGTTTTTTTTTTTTTGGTCGGTCGTGGGACTTGAACTCTGGGTCTGGGCGCTGTCCCTCAGCTCTTCAGCTCAAGGCGAGCGCTCTACCACTTGAGCTACAGCGCCACTTCCTAGGACTTATTTTTGAGTCAGGATCTTATTATATATAGCCCAGGCAAGCCTAGAACTCATGATTTTCCTGCCTCAGCCTCCTGAGTGGTGGAATTACAGGTGTACACTACCACACTTGGCTCATTGAGGACTTTGATGGCTTTTCTCCTACTAACTTTTGTTGTGGTTTTTGTGGAGCTGAGGATGGGATCCAGGGCCACCTGCATGTCAGGCAAGTGCTCTGCCGATCTGTGCTCTATCACCAAAACCTAATTTGTTTTGAGTGCTGCTGGTGATTGAATCCAGAGCCTTGCAAATGCTAGGAAAGTGCTCTACCAACTGAATTATGCTCCCAGAGAATATGAGAATATTGAATATGCTCATTCACATCATAATGTAATTATTCTATATAACTTTACAGACATATCAAGGAAAGGTTAACCTTAAATATTATGTAGCTGAACCCTACTTTGTTGCAGAGAAGATGAGTCTTACGTATGACATATTTAGTGACTGAACTTGGATGAATGTGTGGGTGGGTGTTCTGCCTTCCAGACTAGGCAGGACTGTTTTTCCATCTATATAGAAGCAATAGGAGGACATGCAGAAAACAAACCTCATATGCATCCTATTGTCAGAACTGGAGCTGGAGCATGTGCAGCCAGAGACATGGAAGCCCACATGTACTGGCAGACAGCATTGTGTGCAAGAAACTACTGTGTGCCTTCTCTGGACTCTATAGGAGGAACGGATTATGAGCTTGCTGTTACTATTTTTTTGTAGATAATGTAATACCAAATCCAAGTATTATAAGCCCAGAATTTGAAACTTTTGACAAAGAATATTTATGTTAGCTATCTCATTCCTTTACAAAGCAACCTCTTAGTAATCAAAGCATACATATACATATATATATGTAAGTACATATGTGTATATATACATATATATGTGGGTGTATGTGTGTGTGTGTGTGTGTGTGTATATATATATATATATATATATATAAACAGCTTATTATATATATAGACTGTTTCCATTTTTAAGCATCTGAACTAAATCCAAATGTGCCTAATAGCTAGAGAATAACTTAGCACAGAGTAGTGTTCTAGTGACTCATGAAGCCCTTGATGCTCTGTCAGCAGCACATGACTGCTGGCCCCATTGTGACATATTTTGGCTTTTCAAGGATATCCAGCCAGGCTGCATGCCAGTGGTTCATGGCTGTGATCCTAGCTACTCAGGAAGCTGGGGATCACAGTTTGAAACCAGCCTGGGCAGGGAAGTCTATGAGACTCTTTTTTTTTGCCGGTTGTGTGGCCTGAACTCTGGGCCTGGGTGCTGTCCCTGTGCTCTTCAGCTCAAGGTGAGCACTCTACTGCTTGAGCCACAGCGCTACTTCTGGTTTTCTAGTGGTTTATTGGAGTGGTTTATTTCCTACCTGGGCTAGCTTTGAACCATGATCCTCAGATCTCAGCCTCCTGAGTAGCTAGGATTACAGGTGTGAACCACCGGCACCTGGCCTAAGCCATTTTTGACTACATGGCAAGTGCTAGGCCAGGTTGGTATATGTATTGAGACCTCCCACCCCACCTCCACCCCACCAAACAAAAATGAAACCCAACGATGGTGACACACAGCTGTTATCCTAGCTATTTTAGGAGCAGAGATTGAGAAAATCATGGTTCAAGGCCAGCCTAGGCAAAAAGTTAGCAGAAAGATTCTATTTCAAGCAACAATCTGGATATTATGGTATATATCTGTAATTCCAGCATTTTAGAAGCTATAGGTAAGAAGATCATGCCCCTGATCCTTATTTATTTATTTACTTACTTACTTACTTATTTGATGGTACTGCAGTTTAAACTCAGCATCTTATGCTTGCTAGTTAGTCATTCTGCCATTTGAGCCATGACCTCTCTTTTAAATTATTAAATTATATGCAAGTGCATGTGCACACTGGTTCTACAGTTTGAACTCAGGGCCTGGACACTGTCACTGAGCTTCTTTTGCTCAAGGATAGCACTCTATCACTTGAGCCACAACTCCACTCCACTTGCAACTTTTTATTTATTTATTTTTATTTTTATTTTTGGGTACAGTCGTGGGGCCTGAACTCTGGGGCCTGGGCGCTGTCCCTCAGCTCTTCAGCTCAAGGCTAGCGCTCTACCATTTGAGCCATAGCACCACTTCCGGCTTTTTTTCTTTTTGCTTATGTGGTGCTGGGGAGTCGAACTCAGGGCCTCAGGCATGCAAGGCAAGTGCTTTACCACTGAGCCACCTTCCCAGCCCTGCAACTTTTTTTTTTTAAAGTGGTTCATTGGTGTCTCACAGACATCCTGCCCAGGCTGGCTTCAAACCTTGATCCTTAGTTCTTATTTTTCTGAATAGCTAGTATTACAGGCATAAGCTACTGGCACCCAGCTATCTTTTTTTTCTTTTAAATTAGGATCATACTCTGTAGTCTAGTCTGGTATCAATTCCCAATCTGGCCTCTGCCTCCCAAGCACTGGAACTGCATTACTCTTAGGTGAAATTATCCGATTTTAAAATACTGCTAAAATAGATTTAAAATGGCTTTAAGTTAATTGTATGAACCCAAAGCCTCATGGCTGTGAGCCACATTCAGCCCTTTATAACCTGTGCTAGAATGAAAAGGGCTTCAGTAATCCATTTAATACTCAAATACTGTTTTGAGGCATTTGTTATTTGAAGAAAGGGAGCCTTGCCAAATACTTACAGTATCTTTCTTCCAGCAAGACCTATGTATTCCAAGTACCATACCTCCACATGAGATATGACAATGCAATCTGATTCAAAGTTTGAGAATCTGTGCTTTAACTTTGTTCCTCTGTGTAAAACATTAAACAGTTCTCATGCTGTATCATTGTCTTAGAATGCTGCAAAGAAGCTCTTTGGATGGTGAAGAAGATGGAGGGCCCCAATTTGCCGAAGTATTTGTCATTGTCTGGTTTGGAGCAGTTATTATTACCCTTAACTCAAAACTTCTTGGAGGAAACATGTGAGTACCATACCTTCAATTTTAACCTTAGATTTTTAAGGAAGCCATGCCATTTAGATATCTCTTAATGAAAATCAAACTAAGAACCAAACAAAAACTTCACTTTGAATAAGCCAGGCTCAAGTATGTAGTCTTAGCTACTTTGTTGGTGAAGATTCAAAGATTATAGTTGGAGGCCATCCTGGGAAAGACTGGTTGGGTTTGTATCTCAATCAGTGGTTGCATGTGGTGGTGCACATGTTATCATCCCAGCAAAGATGTGAGGCACAAATAAGAGGATTCCATTCCAGACTGGCCTGTGTATAAAGTAAGACTTTATCTCAAAAAATAAATGCAAAAAGGGCTAGAGGAGTGGTTCAAGTGGTAAAACATCTGCCTAGCAAGCATGAGACCCTGAGTTCAAACCCCAGTACCATGAAAAAAAATGAACCAAACAAACAAAAAACAACTACTGAGTAGAAAGATAACTTAGTAGAATTAAAATATATTATTTTGGGGTCCTTTAATAATCTGCAGATCTTCTCTCTAGCCCTTGGAGGCACAATATATATTTGGGGAATTAATGGTACATAGTTTTAAACAATTTCTCAAATAGTTCCCTGAGCCTGAAAAGGATATGAAGCACCATGTAAGAAGTTCAGCGGGGGGTGGGGGGGTGGGGGGATGGGGTGTGGGGGTGTGGGGGAAGTTCAGCAGAAAAAGGAGATGTTTAGAGTTCTGTTTGTGTAGTGTGTGTCTGCATGGGCATGCACATGCCAGTCCTGGGGCTGCTTTTTGCTCTACCACTTGAGCCACAGCTCCACTTCCAGCTTTTTTTGAATACTTTATTGGAGATAAGAGTCTCATGGCCTTTTCTGACTAGGCTGGCTTTGAACCATGATCCTCAGATCTTAGCCTCCTGAATAGCTATGATTATGGACATAAGCCACCGCTGCCCAGCTAGAGTCAACTCCTAAGGAAGAGCATGGGAAGAGAAAATGAAAGTTCATGCTTTAACCCACAGGAAGTTAATGTTAGGGTATAGCTATAATGTATGCAGGGAGACAAGATCTATGGTATAAATACGCTATGCCACAATCAACTATACTAATGATCTTTGTGGATGCCTGTTGTTTGTAGATCTTTTTTTCAGAGCCTCTGTGTGCTGGGTTACTGTATACTTCCCCTAACAGTGGCAATGGTAATCTGTCGCCTGGTACTTCTGACAGAACCTGGACCAGTAAACTTCATGATTCGACTTTTTGTAGTGACCCTGATGTTTGCTTGGTCTGTAGTTGGTATGTATTTAGCTCTGTAGAATGGATTAAGAGCAATGATATTCCAATGTCTGACGTGAGTGTTATGATTCCTGCCAGTAATATCCTCTTCTAAATGAGTTCTGATTAGAGTGGGGTCCAATGTGTCTCAGTCATGTATCTGTACTTATAAAATATGGAGAATCATTGAGTGTGGTGGTCCCTGCCCTTAATCCCAGTTCCTTGGGAAGTTGAGTCAGGAGGATTGTGAGTTCAAGGGCAATTTAGTAATACTGTTTCAAGATAAATTTTTTTTTAAAAAAGGTCTGGAGATGCAGTATAACTGATAGAGCACTTGCCTGACATGTATAAGGCCCCAGTACACCCCCCTCCCCCAAATGAGATGACAAGTCACATTTTTTTTTCTTTTTGAGGAAGTCTTGCCATAAAGTCCACACTAGCCTTCAATTTGCTGTCCTCCTCCCTTAGCCTTCTGAGTGTGGGATTAAGGTATGTCTCACCAAGCCCAGCCAAGAATCACACCTTTCCTTAAATAATGTTTACACTAGATTCTACTCAATCCTAGTATATACAAGGCATAAGTTACTTGTGAAATTGATTCGGACCTTTTCTTGACAAAGTCAGTTATTATAAAAGTAATACCATCTACAGATTGCTTATTATGGGCCAGGCACAAATTATCTACTTTACCTCTCACAACAACCTATTAGACAAATGTTAGTCTTAGTCCCATCTTATGGGCAAGGCTCCTTTCCCTAGGACATATGCTGAGGTTCAAACACAAGACTTTGCCCTTGGTAGGCAAGTTTTCTACCACTTGATCTGTGCACCCAGCCCCTAAAATTCTTAAAGCTTAAAGTAGCATTTCATTGGCTTAGTATGCAATATTTTTAATACTTAATATTTTTGAGTGAGGTTATATGTCATTACTCTGAAACATGGATTAAAAACTAAGACATAGCCTTGGACACTGGTGGCTCATGCCTGTAATCCTAGCTACACAGCAGGCTTAGATCTGAGAATCACGATTCAAAGCCAGCCCGGGCAGGAAAGCCCACGACACTCTTATTTCCAATTAATAACCAGAAAACTTGAAGTGGCAATGTGGCTTAAGTGGTAGAGTGCTCACCTTGAGCTGAAGAGCTTAGGACAGCACCCAAGCCAAGTTCAAGTCCCATAACCGACAAAAACAAAACCTAAGAAGTAATCTAAGAAAACCCCAAAGAATTGATTTTTATCAAAGACTATATATTAAGTTTGGATGCTTTCCCCTTCATTCTTTCACTTAGAGTCTGTTAATTATATGGTTATTATATATTATATATACTATATATTAGTAGTACTCTCTGTATATTTGTTATTTTATATATAGTTATATATTAGCCCATTAAATATATGCAATATAAAATATATAATAATATATTGTATATCATATATAGTTATATAGTACAGTCTTAAAAGTGTGTGTGTGTGTGTGTGTGTGTGTGTGTGTATGCATTTTTATTAGCTTTGTTATTTGGTGTCCGGGCCCACAGATCAGAAACCAGGATCTTGGGCTGGGAAGGTGGCTCAGTGGTAGAGCGCTTGCCTTGCCCTGGGTTCAATTCCTCAGCACCACATAAGCAAAAAGAAAAAAGCCGGAAGTGGCGCTGTGGCTCAAGTGGTAGAGCTCTAGCCTTGAGCTGAAGAGCTGAGGGACAGCGCCAGGCCCAGAGTTCAGGCCCCATGACCGGACATAAAAAACAAAAAATAAAAAACCAGGATCTTAAGTCAGATGTGTATGGTGTTACACAATCTGTAGTCCCAGCACTTGGGAGGCTAAAGCTGGAGGGTAGCAAGTATGAGGCCAGCCTATTGCACAGAGTGACATCCTGTCTCAAAACATGTAGAATCTTAGGAGAGAGAGGCTTTAATTCAATAACTCCAAGCCATGTGCAGACACTGTGCTGGAGCATGGTCCTTGGAGTACACAGTGATAAAACAGGCACCCATGAAGACATGTAGAGTCATAGTGTTGAAGTAGGAACTGGAAGTCTGTTCCAGTCACAGGAAGGATACAGAAGACAGAAGTGGGTACTTCTACCTAGAGGATGCTAGATGGTTGTCCAGGGAAGATTTCCTAGAGTTGTTACTCATGATTAGTAAAAAGATAAGTGGGTTTTTCACGGATGTACAGGGGGATACCATTCAGAAGAGCATATAACTTCAGAAAAAGAACTGAAAAAAATGCCACAGTACTATAGGAACAAAGAGACTTACCTATCTTATACATCTGTGTAATATAGCCCAATAACTTTCCACAGAAGAATAAGAAATGTCTTCTAGAAAGCTTCCTCTCCAAGTGATTGAAAACTTTTGAAAGCTTAGTACTTGGAACCATAATCCCTCAGCTGTCTAGAGATCACAGTATTTAAGTGGACTTTCTTCTATTTTGTTTTTTGTGATGCTGGGAATGGAGCCTAGGGCCCTCTGTGCGTGCTAGGCAAGCACTCTACCTCCAGCCCACTAGCCCACTTACTGAAGTTTTACTGTGAGTCTTTGAGGATCACAAATATAAGAGAAACTTGGTGTAGTTCTACATTCCAAATTGTGCCCAGTGCATTAAACTTAAGTCAGTGTTTGTGGTTGTGACGATATTGTATTAAGTATTGCTTTTGTTTTTGCCTTGTCTTGTTTAGCTTCTACCGCTTTCCTGGCTGATAGCCAGCCTCCAAACCGCAAAGCCCTCGCCGTGTACCCTGTCTTCCTCTTCTACTTCGTCATCAGTTGGATGATTCTCACCTTCATCCCTTAGGAAAAGAGGACAGAGTTAAAAGCAATGAACTGAAGGCTTGTTGGAATGATCCAGTTTACTACGGAGCTTTGACTCTAGTCCTCTGTTATCTGAATTGGAGGTATGAAGAGGGAGCCATACAGCATACGGCACTGCTGTCACTTGTGTAAGGAATTGATATTTGCAAGGCTGTCCTTTTCCCCTTATTACTCCTTTCCAATGCACATAGTATGATACCTCCTTCAGGCAGCATGGTGTCACTGTGATTCAGGTAACAAGCAGTGACTCTGGAAGCACATGGACATACCCTACAAGTTGAATCAAGTTGGGAACTATTAAAAGCTTTGGGAATGCCAGTTTAGGTGCAGCTCTTAAACACATTGCCTTATGACTATTAGAATATGCCTCTTTTTTCCTAAATAAGAATGGATAGTCTGTATCAATTTTCTTTTTCTCTGAAGTTTAAAAAGGCAATGAAGGGTTGGAAAAGGGTTTGTAGATGTGGGAGGAGCAAACATGCATTAATCAATGTTCAGATTGATATCCAAGGCAATCCTGTGTCTGTTGCTATTTTTTTTTTTGTTCTGTCATGGGGGTTGAACTCTGTGCCTGGATGCTGTCCCTGAGCTCTTCAGCTCATGGTGAGCACTCTACACTTGAGCCACAGCCCCACTTCTGGTTTTCTGAGTGGTTTATTGGAGATAAGAGTCTCACGGACTTTCCTGCCCAGGTGGCTTTGAACCACGATTCTCAGATCTCAGCCTCCTGAGATCTGAGGCATGAGCCATTGATGCCCGGCTCTGTATCTGTTGCTTTGAAAAACAAACAAACAAGAGCATAGGAAATGTAAATAAATTGGTCTTTTTGCAGTGACCTTTCTGTTGTGCTTACCAGTACCTTAGATTTCGGTCTTGCTTCCCCAAGTTCTAATTATGCCATGTTAGCAGTCGATGTGTAATTTTCCTTTGTCTGAAATTCCCAGTGATCTGATGTTGGAGCTTATCCACATAGCTATCTCAGAAGTTTTGATTGGTAAGGTTTGTAATGTGTGATCATGTGGCTACCTTCTGTTAGGTGCAGTTTCCATGCAGCATAGCTGTAAGGAAGTCTTTATTATTTTGTGCATTCCAGCCATTGTCTAGGAAGAAATACTGAATGGCCAGTCTATTTTGACAAGCAAATGAACATAAAAGGATTAAGGATCCTGACAGCTGCTAAACAGAGTAGGTACTACAGCTACACATGCCAAGTTGTGCTGTAGCTGCCACCTTTCCATAGGAGGCCTAGTAGATTTTTCATTAGATGTGACTACTAGGCTGGGGACGAGCAATTTCTTTTCTGGGTTTTCACCTTCCTTTGGCAAAAGACAATTGGCTCCTCTCTTAGACAAGTACATCTTGCATATGTGTGCCTCCTTGTACTCTGACATATTTGTGCACACAGTGCAAAGGCTTTTCAGGTAGCAGAGCATCTGGGACAGGCTAGTCTCAGCTCAGAGAGCTCCATTAAGGTAGCTTTTGCCTTCTTGCACATTGAGGAACTTGAATAGACAAAGATGAGGAGTCAGGCAGGAAATGTCCCTTGTATATATGCCATTAACATATAAAAGGAATTTCTTATTCCACATGTTTCCTGATTATATTAAAGTATTTATTTGTTTTGTATTTAAAGATTACTTACATAGATATATGAGTCTAAAACGTAATTTCTCCATCCCCAGATTAAGTAATGAATAATTTAGGCCAAATGGTTTGTTGGAATGATCATCAAGAACAGAATATTAGAGAGCTGCTCCCCTCTGTTCCATCTCCAGAGTTTAGGGTTATGTGTGTTTCTTTTTTTCTTTTCTTTTTTTTTGGATTAGTCATGGGGCCTGAACTCTGGGCCTGGGTGCTGTCCCCAAGCTCTTTAGCTTAAGGCTAGTGCTTTACCACTTGAGCCACAGCACCACTTCCAGCTTTTTCTGTTTATGTGGTGCTGAGGGATTGAACCCAGGGCTTCATCCATGCAAGACAAGCACTCTACCACTGAGCCACCTTCCCAGCCCCAGAGTTAGTGTTTGTATTATACAATTTACCTTTTAAACTATAATGTAATATCCTTGTGACAACAGACCCAGTGTTTCATTCCTAAATTGATGAAATGGTTGGAAATTGTGCCTAAATTACCCTCCATTTCCCTTATCTGAAAAATATCTCACTTGCCACTAAAATATCTTCCTCCCAACGTTACTTGTAAGATATTCCAGTGATTATAATGTAAAATTAAAGGAGTAACTATACTTCTCAAATGAAGTCTTTACCAGATTTTACTCAGGTAAAACATTTGGTCAGAAATTCCTAAGGCCACACTTGGTGGGGGTATGTGTGCATGCGGGGGTTATATATATTGGGTGTTAAGGCAGCTTAGTCTATTAATCTGTTGCTCTTGGGAAACTTGGTAAATGTTTTTATATGTTTAAAATGAAGGTGTAGGGTTTAACTGGAACTGAATGATGAGTTACAAAGTATAAATATTTTAATATATGTAAAAAAGTGCATTGCTTCCTGTGACAGAAGACCTGGGTGTCTGGAAATTGTCAGCATAGCTTTTCTGGATTTGCTGCAAAGACGTAGCTAAGCATAGAAAAGAGGATGAGTAGGGCAGGGCTTCCAGCACTGGAAACATGTTTCATGCCTCAGCTGAGATTCAGGCACATGAGCATCTGTGGAAGAACACGGGGCCTTGTCTGTATTTGCTGCTCCCACTTGTGATACCAAGACTGCTTATATTCTTTAGCAATAGAAGCATGAAAATTTGATTCAATGATTGTTCAGATGATAAAGACTGAATTGATGACAGCATGCTTAAGTTTGCAGGAGTATGGTCTTAAAAGTAATCATGAATCATTAAGTCTGATTTGCCTCTTAAGTTGTTTATGGCTTAAGGTGATTTGATGTTTTCAGTGGGATTTTTCTTGCATTGGGCAAAGGTTATGGGCAGAAAACTGGTAAACATTTCACTGTTGATTTGTCTGTCTTTTAAAAACACTGTCCCCAAAAATGTGATTAGAAAGCTATCAAGCTTGTGATTGGAGAGGTCTGAAATGTACAAACTTGCTGTATGTGAACTGCCTATTTAATCGTGGAGATGAAAATGAAAATATGTCAGCTGAAGTTCTTGAATAATATCAAGTCATTGGAATTTATCAAAAGCTTATCATGAATGAATAAGACATTAATTTGCATGCAGCTGTTTATTCTAGTTTAAACCACTGAAATTGTGATTCTTGACTATTAGTTTCTGAGAATTTAGAGGAAAATAAATGTATGAATGTTAATACATATATGTAAGTTAGAAACACTTTTCTAGATTCGGTGGGCTTTTATTAAAAATGCAGAATTTGTAGGGATTCACTTAGGCTATAGAATGGCCAAAATAATAATGACAATAATATCACTATGAATAATAGCTAACATTTAATGGGCACATGCTGTGTGCCAGGCACTATTCTATTTTTTTAAGAATTTTTTATAACAGTTTTATTAAGATACACTTTACCTTGAAAGTCACCAATATTCAAGTGTACAACTTAGTAGTTTTAAGTAGTCACAAAGTCACACAACTGTCTCCACTAACTTGACAACATGTCCATCACTGCAAAGAAACCTGGTGTCAATTAGCAGTCAAGCTTCCTATCAGCCCCAGTCTGCTCTCTGTCTCTGCTCACCTGACCAAGTGGCTGCTTTTCCATGCTTGGAATGTCACCTCTATTCCTTCACAGAAAATGCTACAATTCTCATTTTATAAAGTAGAAAATTTAGCCAGGCATAGTGGAATCCTAGCTACTCAGGAGGCTGAGATCTGATGATGATGGTTTGAAGTCATCCTGTTAACCAAACCAGAAGTGGCACTGTGGTGTGAAAAAAACTCAAGGACAAAGCCCAGGTCCCCACGACTAACCCAGAAAAAGGTAGAAAATTAAAATACAGAAAGGTTAAGTCAATTAATTTGCACTGGATGAGAGCAGGTAGGACTCAGTTGTAAATTGCACAGTTGTGTATATGAAAGAAATAGACCGCTTTCTGGGCTGCTTCCTGGTTACTTGCTTCTGGCCCCACATCTGACTGCACGCCCATGATTGGTTCTTTTCTCTACTAAGTGGCCTCTGACAACATAGGAGCAGCTGAACATGGGGAGAGGACTGGACCCAAACCCTTCCTCCAGCCCCTTTGTTCTCCCTTCCCTTTCCACATACATCCCTGTTTCTCAAAGTCTTAAGAATCAAATTCTGCCAGAGGCATTGTTAATGCCTCAAAATGTTCTTGTATCTTCCAGTGTTCAAAGACAGGGCATGCATCTGGTAACTCACAATAGTGGTTATTTTCTGAAGACCTGAGCACAGGGCTGGCAACAGCATGTCTTTCTGTTTGAGCTAAACTAGGTGAGAGCAAGGAATGACAGCAAAGGCAGCCTCATTGGTCTCTGTCTTCTGCTAGGAGGTGGCCCCATGCTCTTGGCATGGTTGTCCTGTTTGTAGCCTTGGTATGCCATCAACAATGCTGCTAACCCTGGGTTTGTTCATACGCCATTTTCATCCTGATCTTTGTTAGAAATGGAAACTTGTGCAAAGAAGAGACCTGGAAAATGGTTTGTGAATGTCAAGTATGTAAATAAAAACACTGGAAAAGGAGAATGTGTGTGCCTGTCCTTTAGCCAAGAGTACTGTTAGTAGTTCTATATATTCTCACAGACAGTTTAGCTGAGAGCTGATTAGGGTTGCAGAGAGCACAGCAGAAAGGGAAGGCCTATATACGGAGCAAATACTATATGCTAGGACCTTTCCTAGGACTTTATAAACAGTCTCTCTCACAAAAGAAGCCTTTTTGAAACTGAAGTGCAATACATAACCTGGAGATTTAAGAGTGGGCAAAGGTTTCTTTCTTTCTTTCTCAGCTCTTCAGCTCAAGGCGAGCGCTCGACCACTTGAGCCCACAGCGCCACTTCTGGCTTTTTCTGTTTATGTGGTGCTGAGGAATCCAACCCAGGGTCTCATGCATGCAAGGCAAGCACTCTACTACTGAGCCACCTTCCCAGCCTGGGCAAAGGTTTCTTATTTGCAGCTAGTAAGGAAAATGCCAGGGATAATTCCCAAAGCAGTGTTTTCTCTCTCAGTAAAGAAAGCAAGAGGCTTTTGTTGGGAAAACTCATACATATTTATAAAGGAAATGAGCATGCTCAGTTCTTAGACATGTTTCTTTTTACAGCAGGTGTTCAAAAAATGGCAGATGAGACACCTCTGAGGGGAGAATTCATATTATGAGCAGTTTACTCCATGTCACCTAAAAGGGATGGGTCAGAGTGACAGATTTTGGTATTCTTTATTCTCTCCCTTTCTCCCTCCCTCTCTGGTGCTGGAGTTTGAACTTGGCCTCAATTGCTAGGCAGGAACTCTACCACTTAAGCAATGTTCACAACCTTTTCTTCTGCAGTTATTTTTTGATAGAATCTTGAGTTTTGCTTGGGGCTGACCTTTACTGTGATCCTTCTATCTATAACTCACATGTAGCTGGGATTACAGATGGA